CCCCAATCCCGTGGCAGGAGCAGCTGAGCAGGTGGGGTTGGGCCACCCGGCAGCCTCCCCAGGATCCCGCCCCGGACCAGTGAGGTGTGCGTGGGGACACAGGCCGACAGGTGGGAGAGGGAGGGGCTGAGCGGATCGGGCCGCCTCCAGCAAGCCTGGTCCCAGCCCTGAGCCCCAGCCTCCTAGGCCACCAGGCCACCAGCCCAGCAGCCTCTCCCGAAGGCCCCACCCATCCCGGCCCAGGAGTGCAGGAGCCACGCCTGCATGTGGAGCAGGACTGCAAGTCCCACGCTCGTGGGCAGGGCCCAACCCCCAAGCCCGGGCCCGTGATCAGCCCACAGGGGTTCCCCCGCAGCCCTGGGCCAGCCCTCACACTCACCTGAGAGAAGGCGGGCACGGCCATGCTGTAGGGCCTCTGCTTGAAGGTGCTGGCCGTCTGGGTGGGGAAGCCGCGGGACGAGGGGCCGTAAGCCCGGGGTCTGGCCTGGCCCCACCTCCCCACGCCGGGCTCTGCCCTTGAAGAGGCGGTGACCAGGGGCTGCTCTCGGCGGCCTGGGTGGCAGCCGCCCGGATCCCATGGGCCCCTCCCTCGGACCTGGGCACAAAGATGTGCCAGGGAGAAGCTCAGAAGGTGAGCTGGGCGGCTGGGGTGAGTGTCAACCCAGGAACCAGAAGATTCCATCCCGGTCGGGGCACAGGCCCGGGATGAGGGCTGATCCCAGTAGGGGGTGTGCAGGAGGCAGCCGATCAGTGATGCTCTCTTATCACTGATGTTTCTTTCTATCCCTCTCCCTCCCTCTTTCAATAAAACCAAGAGAGACGTGTTAAAAGGTAAATAAAATTAGAGAGAAGGCGAGACGGGGCTGACCCTGTGGGAAACGGCAGCAGGGGTGCCCTGGGTCCGAAAGGGGCAAGAAGCCCGCCCGACGGGTCAGCGCACAAGCTGCCCACACACACAGCGGCCGCCCTCCTCACGAAGCGCCTCCCGCATGTACCCGAGCCTCGGACATGCACACACCGGGCGGAGGGAAGCCCAGCCCAGCTCTGTGCCGGGAGGGCCTGGGCCGCTCACCTCATGTGCAGCCTGTCGCCCCCGTCGCTGTCCAGCACCCGCGTGTAGGAGAAGGGAAACCAGCCCCGCCTGCAACCGAAGGCGCAGGGTCCGCCCGCCGCCTGGCCCTCACATCTTGGTCTTCTCGCTCTCGCCATAGTGCCAGCCGTCCCGGGCCTCGGGCACCAGCAGGGTGATGAGGTCGCCCTCCTTGAAGCTCAGCAGGGTGCTGTTGTCGCCCGCCGCGTGTGAGAAAATGGCCTTCACCCGCATGCGGCCGTTGCGCTCCAGGCCGGCCGCCATGGAGCTGGAGCGGGGCAGCGTCTTGTTCTCAGCTGCGGCGATAGGGGGCGTGAGGGAGGCTCGGCCGGAGGAGGGCAGGGGGCTCACTCCCCTCCCATCAGCTCGCCACCCCGCCCCACTGCCCACGGCGGGAGCTGTCCCATTGCCCCCGGGGCCTCCTCAGCAGCCCTCTGCTCTGGGCACCGCCCACCACTCCCTGGACGGAACCGGGAGCCCTGAGAAGCCCCTCAGGATGGAGTCTCCCCGGGTCCCAGGGTGCGGCACACGTGTGTGAGCCTTGGCCCCCCCCCCAGCTGTGGGGCCGGCCGGGAGCCCTTACTGGCGGCGTAGCTGTTCTTGGGGGCCACGCTCTTGCGCACGGGCAGGGTGTTGGAGTAGGAGTCGCTCATCTTGGTCTGAGGCTGCTGAGGAGACGAGGACTTGGGCTGGGCCCCCTTGCGGTCAGCCCAGGGGCTGTAGTCCTCGCTGTCGGGGCCCGAGACGCCGTTCATGATGGGCGCGTTCTCCTGGGCGGAC